TGTGTGTGTGTGTGTGTATATATATATATATATATATATATATATATATATATATATATATATATATATATATACATATACATATACATATACATATACATATAAATACATATACATATACATATACATATACATATACATATACATATACATATACATATACATATACATATACATATACATATACATATACATATACATATACATATACATATACATATACATATACATATACATATACATATACATATACATATACATATACATATACATATACCTAAAAATATATACACATATGTTGATATATTATTATTATTATATATATATATATATATATATATATATATATGACCATGGGTATGTATATGGTGATGGCAGTGTGTATAGATGTTGCTGCGGAGTCTGATGTATGGGAAAAAGAGCATGAAGATAAACTGTGAGATACACTGTGCTGGAATCGGCTGCATTAGTGTGGATGTACTTGGCTAAAATATCAACGTATATTCATGCATAGGTATATGTATGCAGATGTATAAGTGCAAACATACAAATACGTATACGTATTGGTATTTTTATAACCACAAACCACACAAGTTTAAGATCTCCGTTGAATAAATGTGTACATAGGCTTTTTTTTTTTGAATTTACGTACATCTGTCGTACACATTTGTTTTTATGGATTTTTATATATAAAAAGACATAAATAATAAATATATGTGGCACAAAGCATGAATACATATTGTTATATCCATTGGCGTATGTCTATCGTCATACACATACATACATCCACTCTCCGTCGCCCTAGACTTGTATAGCGAGTCCACCGAAGTCTTCATATTGCATGTGTGGGACGTCGCCAGATTCTCGCCAGATACGCATGAAAGTCAGACACTAAATGTAGCCACACAAACATGCACTTAAGCTTCTCTCGTTCGTCTTTGAACATGTACAAGCACGTATAAGTAGGTATTACAAGCATGACCACCGACACACTTACATCCACTCTCCGTGCCCTTCGTCTTGAACAGCGAATCCGCCGATGTCACGACACTTCGCTTGTGGGACGTTAACAGATTCTTGGCCAGGTACGAATGAAAGTCAGACACCAACTCTCGGAACAGGTGCAGCGCTCTGGGGAACGCCGCTGAGAAATACACAGACATGGCAGGGGGGCTTGCGGCCTGGTTGCCATGGTAGCCGAGTGATCCCAAACTGGTGGTCCGGGTAAACGCGGTAGAGCTCCCTTGCACACCAAGAAGATGCATGTACCGATCTAGAACGAGTCTACGGGTGAGCCAATGAAAACAAGGGAAATGGGGTAGGTAGGTACTCTGTTGTGGGAGACGGAGGGTGCGAGAAAGTGTATTGTGTGGTTTAAAACAAGCCTATGAGTAAGCAAACATAAGTACGGGGGTGTAGGTAGATACTCTGTTGTGGGGAAATAGGAGAGTGATACAGTGCATGTAGCGATCGAGAACATAAAAACGAACAAGAACCCAACAGTAAAGGGGTAGATAAGTACGCCATCTGGTGTGGGTAATGACGGGCGTGAGTCGAGTGTGCAGATGTATGGGCCGATCAAGAATGACTCGGTTAGCAATCATACGAACGCAAGAGCAGTTGGTAGGTGATCTGTTGCGGGTAGATAGGAGAGAGTGAGGAGAGTACCATAGGCAAGTAGAACGCAAGAGCAGTTAGTAGGTGATCTGTTGCGGGTAGATAGGAGAGAGTGAGGAGCGTGCCCTACGTAAGTGGAACGCAGGAGCAGTTGGTAGGTGATCTGTTGCGGGTAGGTAGGAGAGAGTGAGGAGAGTACCATACGCAAGGGATGTGCAGTGGGGTCTCCATGCGTGTGAACGTGCATGTGGCGATTCAAACACAAGACTGTGAGTTAGCATACGAAGGCAATCAAGCAGTCGGTATGACATCCGTGGTGTGAGTGGTGTGGATCATTGGGACGTGAGCTGTATGTAGTACTATGAGCCGTCAGTTAGTATGGGCTGAGCCAGCCAGCATCTGGTATCTGATATGGGATTGATAGGTTAGTGGTGAAGAGTGTCGGATGGGAAGGTACATGTACCAAACGCCAGACCCCGTATGCGTTCAAGTATAGGTAAATTAGCATGGGATGTATTAACGCGGATGGGAATGCGCTCGAAGGACAACTCATGGCGGGGCGGGTCACTGTGGGAGGCTTCAATGGATAGGGTTAAGGATAACCGTTTCAGGTAATCAACGCGTAGCTTATAGGCAAGTAGTACACCCATCCACCTATTCATAGACGTTGCTTATGAATTAGATCACAATTATATACACTATAAATGAAACCACACATACATACACTAAATTAAACCACACATACATACACCAAATTAAACCAAACATACACACACTAAATGAAACTACACATACACACTAAATTAAACCACACATACATACACTAAATCAAACCCCACACACATACCCAATAGTTTTAAACCCCGGCCACACCCATACCTGGTAACGAATCGGAGCACTATAAGCACCAGCCTCTGCGCATTGGCAATGTAGTCATCAAAGTCACGGTACAACACAGCCCGTAACCGCAAAAAATCCTTCTCGACCATAAGGGGTCTCATTAAGGGGTCTGCTGACACGCGTGCACCCTCCTGCTCACGACAGTTCACGTGCACCGCCTCGCACTCGCTGGCCGCGGACGAGACTCTGTTGTAGCTGTGACGGGGCAAAGGCACGAGGACGGTGTGAGAAGGAAAAAGTGTGTGTTTGGATATAAGCGTGTGTTTGGATATAAGCGTGTGTTGGGATATAAGCGCGTGTTGGGATATAAGCGTGTGTTTGGATATTAGCGTGTTGGATAATTGAGGTGGGTTGTGTCACATGAACAGCCACGGAGTCACTGATAGTTGAGAACGCACCGACGTTGTTGTTGTATTCCAAAAGAACACTGGGCCCACTATACGCGTACGATTCCTCATGCGCACAAACCACAGACACCCATATGTAGACACTTACAGAAACGAGACACGAGATAAA